GCCCCATTTTCTTAAAGACACCATCTTCCTCCCATGAAAGACCCCCCACCCCCCTCCCCCCCGCATGGAAGGAAGGGCACCGAAGCGAACCCGAGGCCGCAGAACCGGTTCACTCGGCTGGAAGAAAGTTATTTCTCCTGAAAACAAAAACGCTGGGAACGAAGGAAGAAGGGAGGGAGGGAGGGAAGAAGGGAGGGAGGGAGGCAGGGAGGGAGGAAGGGAGGGAGGGTGGAGGGAGGGTGAGAGGGAGGGAGAGAGTGAAAGATAGAGAGAGCGTGAGAGCCAGAGATAGACAGGGAGAAAGAGAAAGAGAAAAAAAGAAAGAATGAAAGAGAGAGAGAGAGAGAGAGAGAGAGAGAGAGAGAGAGAGAGAGAGAGAGAGAGAGAGAGAGAGAGAGAGAGAGAGAGAGAGAGAGAAAGAGGGAGAAAGAGCCAAAGATAGATGCCTCGCCGGTACGATTTAGGCTTAAACGCCGCGCCTGTTGTTATTTAGGCCAACGCCGAGATCCAGAGCGCTCCCCCCCTCTCCCTCTCTCTCTCTCTCTCTCTCTCTCTCTCTCTCTCTCCACACTAATGCTAAACGAGGAGCGAGCTTCTTTCTCCACCGAGGAGCCGCACCGGCATCCCCGGCCAAGCAACAGAACCGGAGGCGATTCCAAAATAATCTCGATGAATAAACCAGGCCTTTTTGCCGCCGGCGACTCGCTGGCCTTATCGCCACTTCCGGCACGAGGTTCACGTCATGTGCTGCGACCTTTCCGATGTGGAGGCCGATGCGACCGAGGAAACATCCATTCACACTAAACACACACACACACACACACACACACACACACGCACACACACACACACATACGCGCGCGCGCACACACACACACACACACACACACACACACACACACACACACACACACACACACACACACACACACACACACACACACACACACACACACACACACGCACACACACACACGAGGCGTACCCCTGCATCTTGCACGCCCATCCACAAGGAGAGGGGGGGACGCCGAGACCGCATGGGCGTCGGGGCAGCCTCGTGGCCGTGTGGCGTCATGCACCCATTCACGCACCGACGGCGAGGAGAGGAAATGTCAAGGAAAGCTGTGTTTGGGAGGAATAATGAAGGTTGGGAATGAAGTGGGTGAAGGGAGGAGAGGAGAGGGAAGAATAGGAGAGGGGAAAGAGTGAGGGTGAGAGGGAGGGAGAGAACGAGAAAAGAGGAAGAGCATGATTGAGCGATAATATAGAAGGAGGGACAGAGAAGGTAGGAGAGCAGGAGTAAGGAGTAAGGAACGAGGGAGAGGTAGCAGGGGAGAAGGGTAGAGAAAGGAAAACGGGAAGGGAAAGGGAGAAAGAAAGAAAGAAAGAAAGAAAGAAAGAAAGATAGAGAGGGAGAGAGGGAGAGAGAGAGAGAGAGAGAGAGAGAGAGAGAGAGAGAGAGAGAGAGAGAGAGAGAGAGAGAGAGAAGAAAAATAGATATTCGTGACTGGCATTCAACGCACGAAAGAATCTTTTCTCTCCTCGGGAAACTCAACAAAAATCGTGGAATTAATGATATTTTTCAACTTGTTATGAATGTCCATAAAAATATTTGGATCAACAAAAACCTGCAGTGAAATATAAAAAAAATAATAATACGATCATCACCATTAAGCCGAAAATATATATTAGTAAAAATGAAAGGAATAATTATCCTTATAACAATCTCGGTGGTCATTAAAAAATACCAATAATCAAAAGTAAGAAATAAGCTACAAAAAATACTACAATCTGTGTAATATTGATAAGAGTAATAACAAAACTAAAATGGAAAAAATACAGCAACAATAACAAAATAATATTCATTATCAAAAATCATATCACTGGTAGCGAAGGTGACGATGATGATGATGATGATGATGATGATGATAATAATAACAGAACAACAATAATAACAACAAAACAATAACAACAGCAACAACAACACCAATAATAATAATAATAATAATAATGATGGTAATAATAACAACAAAAATAATAATAATAACAAAAAATAATAACAATAATAACTCCAATAACAACAGCGATACCAATACAAACATCTGGTAGAAACGAATCAAGCGCAAACAATTAAAACAAAAAAAAGGCAAAATAAAGACACGAACCCAAATCAGGGCGATACGATTTTCTTGCGGAAAAAACAACAACAACAACAACAACAACAGGAAGAGCGTGACGCATGTATGACGTAAGAGTGACGTAAGAGTGCCGTCACCGCCTATCATTATGCAGGTGTTCTAAGAAGCAATCTTTCTCATGCATTTTTCCCCGCCACGACACTGCGAGGGAAGCGAGGGAAACGAGGGGAAAGGGAGGAAGGGGAAAAGGGAGAAAGGAGGGAGTGGACGAGGAAAGAAGAGGAAAGGGTGAAAGAGGAAAGAAGAGGAAAGAGTGAAAGAGGAAAAAGAGATGAGAGGCGAATAAAGAGGGGAAAAATGGGAGAGGAGGAGAGAGGGGAAAGAGGGAGAACGAGAGAGGGGGAGAGAATGAAAAAGGGGGGAAAGAAAGGAAAGAAGGAAAGACTGAAAAGGAGAAGGAGTAGAAAAAATAAGAAGAGAGGAAATGAGCAGTAAGGAAAAGGGAAAAGGAAAAGTAAAGAAGGGTAAAGGAAGATATGACCAGAAAGGGAAAGGAACAGAAGAAAAAAAAGGGAAAGAGGAGAGAGTAAAAGGATAAAGAAGGGGAGAAAAAGACAGAGAGAGAGAAGAAAAGCGGTAAGGAGAAAACGAAAAGGAGCAGGAGGGGAAAGAGGAAGAAGGAAGAATGAGAACAGAAAAAAGAAGGAAAGAAAGATAAACAGGAAGAATAAACAAAAAAAGAAAACCAGACGAGGTCAAGATGAAAGGAGAAAAGCAAATGAAAATAATGCAAACAAGCGAGTGAGAAACAGACGATAAAGGAAAAGGAAGAAAACAGAGGCCAAAAAAAATAAAGAAGAAACCACAGGAAAAGGAAAAAAACGCCAACAAAGCAAGAGTCACAAGCAAAGGAGAAGAGAGAGAAAAAGACAAAAAGACGAAAGGGAAAGTAAACAGAAGAACAACAAAGAGAAAACAAGTAAACAAGAGGACGAAAGAAGACAAAGGCAGCGCCCGAAGGAGGAAACAAGTGACTGAAGAACGGAGGAGAAGAAAAGACTCAAAGAGAACCACAACAAAGGAGCCCACAGGGGGATAGAGAAGGAGAAGGAGAAGGAGAGGGAGAAGGAGAAGGGAGAGGGAAGGAGAGAGAAAGGGAGAAGGATGAGGGA